CTGGCCTCGAACTCACAGAGATCCGCCTGCCTCTGCCTCCTCAAGTGCTGGGATTAAAGGTGTGCACCACCACCACCCAGCTTTAGTGGCTGTTTTGTTCTCTGACCCCGTATAAGTTTATTAGGGTGCACAATATACTGGGGGACACACTATCACCACATAAAGTTGTAACTGGGGTGTGTACTGATGAGAGTTGGAAAGGTCTGGATGTAGAATGACTGGAAAAGATGACCCATTACTAACCCATCTCAAAACCAAGAATGGAGGGGTCAGAGGAAGAGACTAATCCCTCACTACTTTATGTAATTTATGTTACCATAGAATCAGAATTCACTCCCCAGAGACTCTCTTGATATATCATTCTTCTCAGAATAAGCTAAGAGTTATAAATCCCATGAAGATTCAACAGTGACACTGATGATATGTTGAATGATGAAAACATTGAAGATTTTATTTTTATATCTGCAATAAATGAGAAGATAATACTTTTAGACTATTCAAAAATAGTTTTCCTGTTTATTTTCACTTAAAATATTTCCACATTCCTCTCAAACTTAAAGACAGTGTTTTAAATTCAGTTTTGCTCCTTAGTTTTCATCTGGGAAATGGAGACTCTATGGAAATGGTTGAGTAGCTCCTCTGTTTCACATTCATGACAAGTAAACACAAGCCACAGCCTCTCTTCCCAATAACTCTAATGACCCTACTTACTGCGAAGCGAAGCTCAAGCTTTATGGGTATTTGGAGGACGAAGCAAAAAGCAATCTTATCAGCCTTAATTTGTCACTCCACAGCTTCCTCTGTATTCAGCTCTCACATCCAGAAAGGCCCATAACTTTGAGATTAGCTAAGCCTATGAGATAATGCACTCGATTCCTTTAGCCATCTGTTTCGTGTTGCCAGGGACTTATAAATGCTGGCCAATGCTTGTGTTCACTTCAGGATACTTTAATCAGTCTTTGGAGACTTGAGTGAAAAACCTTGCAGCCTTGAGGAAAGATGACTTACTTATTCAGATAAATAAAGATATAGGGAAGCTAGGATGACCAAATAAAACAAATGGGGTGCTAAGTCTGAAACAGAGAAGGTGGTTTTCCCAGAAGGAGCCATATAGTTATAAAATAAGAACTTTCAAATTATCTGGTTCCACTTTCTCACTTTAATGATAAAAAAGCTCCAAATGAGACTTTTACAAGGTCACTGTGGATGTGAGCTGAAGTCAACTCTGAAGGACACCATGTCATTCGCTAAGAAGCCTCCCTGTGTAGAGGGACTCACTGAGAGTGTGCTACAGACACCCATCACTATGGGAGGCTGAGATTCTATGTTATTTGAAAACATAATATAGCAGAAGACACAGATCCATACTCAGACAGAAGGATTGCTTTTAGCTACCAGAGGCTGCTGGTCCTTTTTTATTTACAATTGAGAGACTTGTGAAGATTTGAGAGAATACCTTTGGTATACATACACATACCCTTATTCTCTCTCTCTCTCTCTCTCTCTCTCTCTCTCTCTCTCTCTCTCTCTCTCTCTCGGCATGGGAAAAATAGAAAAGGAAGATAATATTGGTGGCTAAAGTCAAGAGTCTTAGGTGACAGAATTGGACAGAGCTTCTCTAGTGAAGGCTCAAGCTTCACAGGGCATAGCACACTAAGCCTAGGCCCTGGCTTCCTGGACCAGGATAGTATGGGGATTGGAGAGGCAGGTGGAAAAGGGAGATAGCTGAGAAGTAAGGAATCTATACTAACTAGCACTGTAGGTAGGAAGTCATGGTTTGAAGAAATTCTAGAAAGAGATCTGTGGTGGTATTGTGTTCCCCAAAATATTGTGCACCCTAATAAACTTATCTGGGGTCAGAGAACAGAATAGCCACTAGATACAGAGGCTAGAAAATGGTGGCACTCACACCTTTAATCCTAGCCTTCCAGAGGCAGAAATTCGTCTGGATCTCTGTGAGTTCAAGACCACTTTGGAAACAGCCAGGCATGGTGACACACGCCTTTAATCCCAGAAAGTGATGGCAGAAAACAGAAAAGTATTTAAGGCGTGAGGACCAGGAACTGGGGCTGGTTAAGCATTCAGGCTTTCGAGAAGCAGTTCAGCTGAGATCCATTTGGATGAGGACTCAGAAGCTTCCAGTCTTGAGGAAACAGGATCAGCTGAGGAATTGGTGAGGTGAGGTTGGATATGGCCTGTTCTGTTTCTCTGATCATTCAGCATTTACCCCAATAACTGGCTCCAGGTTTGATTTTATTAATAAGACCTCTAAGATTCCTGCTACAGAGATCAATTGTTTTTCTTGAACTTTCAGAATGACTGACTCATTGCATCTTCTCTTGCCATAACTCACATCTCAAATGTAGAGCCTACACTCCAGACTGCTTGAATATGAGAACCATACTGAGGAGCAATAGCTCCAAAGTCAGGTCAGCCATCTCAAAGGACTATTACCTAAACATCTGGGTGAAAGGAAGTGATGTGGAGTTCCCCAGCTCAACACACAACACTCTTGAGACACAGCAGTTGTGTTTCAATTATGTCTGAATCAACAGTGTCTAGTCCAAAATTTGGCCTTGAACAATTGTTTCATAAATGAAGACTTCATATTGTTGGAAATAGTGGACATTTTGTAATCTCTAAGCAACTGGAAGATCTGAAGAAAAAAAAACTAAGTGAACTATTGCCACTTGATATTTATTACTTGCTTTCTTATTGACTGGAGTTTTAACTAACATCTAAAAGGTCAAGCACAACAAAAATTAGGAAGCTGTGTATTTTTGTATTTAAGCATATTATGAACAAGTGTGCTTTTTCTTTGAAGCTCTTTAGATTCTTTTCTAAAGCCAAGAAATCATACACACTTAAAGACATAATACACAGGGATTATTGATGTTTTTTTTCTCTAAAATTAATGAGAGATGAATGCCACTTTCAAAGGACTCACAGGAGGGGATGTTGAGTTAAGTGGAATACAGCAGTTAGTCGGTTCACCTTGTCTGGTGATCATCGTCTTCAAGAGGGAATGTCAAATCCCTGTGGTTCTAGAGTCTTAAGAGAAAAGAGCTTGAGTTGCATATTTGAGCCACCACCTTACAAGTCTTAGGTCTAGGAATTCAAGGAGAGGATAAGGGATTATGAGAAGGAAGTCACCTGTGACAACAACAACTTACAGTTTATTAACCTTGAATTGACATTCACTGGAACCTATTTCCTCTCAAAGGCCACAGAAATTTTACTTTTCATATACCCATGACTGCAGAATAATGAAATGGAGTTTTATGTGGGTTTTCAATAGTACTTTTCATTATATTATAGTTACTTCCTGCCCCTTTCTCTAGTCTCAGCAGTAAATTCTCTTTGTTTTAATGTTCTATACCCCTGCCTCACTTTCTAATCTCTTTGGAGTTAACAAAGTTCCAGTGACCAATAAAGCCAAGTTGAAACTTCTATTTGTTTTTGTGTTTGTTTGATCCACCTGAATTTATTACTCAGGAGAGGAAGAAAGAATCTTTCTCTAGATATTAAAATTCATCTTTTGGACATTTCTTTTGTATAGTAAAGAAAGTTAAATCTTAAGGAAACTGAGAGGATTGTTCTAAATTACTAACTAGTTTATCTTTAAGGCAGCAGGAAAAAGAAACTAACTTATGCTTAAAGAATTTTAAGAAATGCATTTTTATATTTTTGCCAACAAATTCTTCAGTTGAGTAGGTACAGAAATTGTGGGTTTCTCAGACCATGTAATATTTAGGAATAAGATCTGTTTGTGGGAAAGAAATATAAGTGTGTTATCAGAATTATCACATACTCAACCCACACTTGTGTGTGTGTGTGTGTGTGTGTGTTGTATATACTTTTATTTATTTAGATGGTAATGGGAAGATGTGTGGTATTTCTCTTTAGATTTAGAGTTTGAAAAATATCAAAGAAATGTTTGCTGATTTCCCACAATCCACATGGGGCTCATGTTCCCACAGTCTTGCTCACATCCTAGACTCGGTTATATTATCTGCCTTCTCTCTTGAGAGCAGGTGATACTTCATCCCTTGGAAATCTAGCTGTCACATGGGTAATGAAACCTGCTGAGGAATGCAGGAAAATCATGAAAATTGCAAGGGCTACTTAAACAACACAGCAACTGCTAAATCTCAATGATGTCAGCTTTCAGAGAAGCATGTGCATATGTGTTTTCCTCAAGAAATCTTAGCTGAAGCTCTTGTCATACTATTGCCTGATATTTCTTTTCCACATTGTTTCAAACAAAAGAATACTACGAAGGCACACCATCTGCAGCTAAGTCATCCGTAAGAATATATGACATTTTGAGAAAAAGTCTCAAGCTAAACATTTGTTTGGAGATGAAGAGGAAATGACCATTGTGAAATTTCTGAGAAAAAAAAAAAAGGATTTGGGTGGGGGTGACTTGGAAGGCCAGAAGACACTCTTTTCTGTTACAGCTGCTTAAACATCCGCTATGAATTAAGACATTGGGAGGTTTTCTTTGCTTTATGGCCATGATTCAACTCAGCGGTTTCAAACTTTTACTAAGGACAAACTGGTCTTGAAAATAGATCTGCTTTGCACTATTTCTTTAGAAAAGAAAATGTTTAGCTTTCTGCAGTCTGTCAATCTTGTGGTAAGAAAATGCCACCAAGGTACCTTTTATAAGAATCTGGGCTCAGAAACAGCTGTGTAAATCATACAATAAGATTTTCCTTCTTTAATTCAACTAGCATTTGAGTCCACAGCATTTTCAGACACATTATAAAGCAGGACTCACATTGAATCCCAATCTGGAAAGGAGCTGTGTACAACCACAAGAGCCTGCTCCGAAAGGAACATATGGAGCAAAATCACCTGTGATCACATAAGCAAACTTGTCCTGGAGCTTTCCTCTTGTTCTTAAATAGAAAGAGAAGCTGCACATCAGCCCAGTTTCTGGAACACACAGAAAGAAAAGTCCTTGAGAGATGAGATGGAGGGTATTATTCTTTCATGAACTAATATACTTTCCTTGTCAGTTTTAAATGAAAGAAGGTTTTAAATCCCCAAATGGGAAGCTAAATAAAGGCTTCTCAGGACAGAGCAATAACAGGCAAATGGCTGAAACCAATTTCAGCCCCAGAGTGACAGATAATAGTAAATCATTTCCTTCCCCTTTAAGGTGTCCCCTCCCTGACAAAAATAAAATTTGTTCTTAGACATTACCCATTAATATATGATTTTATCTCTTTCCATGTTGGCTTTGTCACCAAGACTCTTCCTTTGCCTCTTAAGAACCAGTCAGAATTAAGGTATTATTGAATTTTTTCTATATTAAGTAAGCATATACATTTTATTTTTAAATTTTTATTGTATTATTGTAGAGATGTGTAACATAAAATCTATGTTGTTAAATTGTATCCTTAAATATAACTTTATTTTTAATTCATACAGCAATTCTAGGTGCTTATGGAATACAGTATAACATTTCAAAGCATATATTCAATGTATAATGGATAAATGAAAATCTATCAAATCAGGTATTTATCATTTTTTCCTGTTCATTTATTTCAAGTCCTCTGTTGTTGGAAATGGTCCAAAAAGAGTTGTGTGAGGAAAAATTCCGAGTGCTTATGAGAAAACTCCAAGAAAACAAGACCAGAGTCTTGTGACCTCAGTTTCTTCAAAAACATGGAATTGTTCTTGAATTATGCTGTCATGCTCCTCCCAGATGTAGCAGATAGGGGTGAGTTTACTTCAGATTTTTCATTACAACTGGCTATTATTAGTTTATATAACTCCATAGAAAAAAACATGTTTTTGCCACATTCAGCTTATCCTTGTGGTTGTATACTTCCTCACATGACTCTTCTTAACTCTCAGAGTATAAATTGTATGAAACCCTGAATAAAACAGACTAGTGCATGAGGCTTTAGTCCACTATATTTATTGACTCTATTCTCCCAGGCCCCACTGTGTTTAGTGCAGTAAACAGACCATTAGCTGCTTAAAATATTCAATTGCCATTGTCCACCATAGTCATCCTTTGCAGGAGAACACTGGAAGATTTTCCTCCAATCCAGTCACAGCCTGTGTCACTAACTATCTTCTCTATTCCCCAACCCTCTTCCAGACTGCTAACCATTATTCTCTAGCATATTTTGGCTTCCACATAAATGAAAATGTGTGGTATCTGTCATTTTTGTGAATGATTTATTTTAATTAACATGATATCCTCAGTTCCTTTCATGTTGCTACAAATTACAGAATTTTCTTATTCCATTGTGCATTTATAATGCATGCTCTTCAATCATCTGCCAGTAGAATTTAAGTTGATTCCATATTTTGGTTATTGTATAACAAAAATGAACATCCAAAAGTCTCTTCAACATGCTGATTTTAGTTCCTCTGGATACATACCAGGTAGTTAATGCAGGATCATATGGCATTTCAACCTGTAGTAACTGAGGAGCCAGTATAGTAACTATACATTCCTACTAATAAACAGTGGATCACAGTTTTTCTCTCTCTCCATCTGCATCCTCATCAGCTTTTGTTACTTCTTTAATTTTAATAACAGATATAGTTGGGACCAGATGATTTGTTATTGTGACTTCGCCTTTTCTGATCAATTGTGCTATTCAACAAATTTTCAGATATATGTTAGCCATTTATAAATTCTTTTTCTAAGTTTTTTTTTTATTCTGGAAATTATAGCCTTGTTTGACTACCAGATTACAGATGTTTTCTTTGATTCTCTAGGCAGCATATACCTGTTTATATTTAAATTCCATTTTCCCAGTCTATACCTTTTAACTAAGAAATTTAATCTGTTTCCTTTCAAGGAAATGTAAAATGTAAAAACTGACTTCTGTATTAGTGGAGCTCTATTTCCTTCTGCTTTTATTTTGTGCATCTGGCTTACATTTTTATTGTTGTATGCTTTAAGATGGTAGTTATCAAATTTGTTTCTGGTATAGGATTCCATTCTGTTTCTTGGGAGGCTTCAGTTTTGGCTTGAGTTGAAAAGAACATATTTTTATGACATTTTTGAAAGATAACCTATCTGAATTTAGTACTTTGTGTTCGCAGTTCTTTGTTTCAGGAAAGTGGATATGTTATCACATTCTTTCCTTTACTCTAAAATTTCTTCTATTAAATCTACTAATAATCTAACAGGGGTTCTCTTTTGTATGTACCTGGACCCTCCTCTGACTCCTCTAAGGATTCTCTTGCATTATGGATTGACTCCAGAATTTTTCCATGTTTTGAATTCTTCACTCCCAGCTTTTGGTATTATTCTGAAACACATATTCTGAAGCTCCATTATTTTGGCAATTTTAGGAATCCTGGAGGGTAGAAATAAGGCACAAGGTTGGGCCTTTGAGGGCTATACTTACTGGTTCTCATGGTGTCCTCTGTTTCCTGGGTCACAGGCATGTGAGGAAACTCTGCCATATGATTCCACTACTGTGATCCATCACCTTTGCCATATCTTTCCCACCACCAAGAGCTGAAATCTCTCTGGAACTCTGGGCAAAAAATCAACTTTGCCTGTCTTCAGTTGTTTAGTTTGCCCAACAATATAAAAATAACTAACATAAGCTGTTCCTGTGACTCCTCTTTCCCATTAGAAGCAGCAAAAATCATATTTGAATGATATGGCATAAGTTTCAAAGGTATTCTCCATTCTTAGTGATTTCTTCCTCCTCTTCTTCCCCTCCCATCCTCTCCTCTCCCTAACAATATATCTTTTTGTCATTACATTTTCTTCAGTCTGCCTGGGTTATTTCAAAAGATCTGTCTTCAAGCTTGGAGATTATTTATTGTGGCTGATAAAATCTATTTTCTTAATTTGATTTTTAAATTTATAAACTTTATCATAAAAAGCTTGCTAATATATTTAAATATCACACATCTAAAGTAGCCATGACCAATTGCTATACACCTCGATGAATTTATATACAGTGAGAAAAGTCATTCCAAAGAGAAGCTATAGTGTTGCTGTGGCCTTGCACCATATTCTTTCTTTTCCTTCTCTTCACAGGTATAGATGTGTGGTGTGACCTCAGGAATCTTTCTTAGTAGCTTTCTTCCTTATCTCCCCACATTTTTTGATGGTTCTCTCATTCATATCCAGAGATCATAGCATAGCTTCTCTGGCTAGTGTTCTCTGGGAATCTCATGTCTCTGTCTTTAGGGCCTGGAATTACAGGTTGGCAACCATATTCAGTATTACATGGGTGCTGGGGATTGGAACTCTGATATTCTTCTTATGCTGAGTCAGCTCCCAGCCACTGCACTATATATTTTTTATTTCATATGCTAAGTTTTTGATACAAGATTTATATTTGACTCACTTTTTATAAACTGCATGTTTGATAAAGTTCTCATTTGTGTTATGAGTTGTCATTATACTCATTGAATTGTCCATTGGTGTTTCATTTTATTACATTCCATTGTTTTCTTAAAGTCATTATACAATTTAATTTTCTTTGGGATTCAGTGCTGCATGGGTATCATGTTTCTCTTAAGGAATTATAATACCTTCTTTCTCCCACGTTTCTTGTTCCTTTGCATTGGTGTTTGTATGCCTGACAGGTTAACTGCTTCTACTAATTTTATAGGGTACATATAGCTATTAGACAAGCTACCATGCTACAAGTCTTGCTATGCTCCCATGCTGTCCTTAAACTCTAGCACAGGCAGGCTATCCTTTTGCTTTATTCTCCAAGCTTTGGAACCACAGGCGTATTCCACCACACATACACAGCACCACATGAGTTCAAAAGCTGTCTTTGAAGTGCATTTGCTATGTGCTTAGTGTAGCTGTACTTTTCAGATTCTCATCTATCTCTTATGGGAAGAAAACAGAGGTTGGGGAGCAGATAGAAATACATTCTAGATCAGGCTTTTTGTGAAATTGATTCAATGTGTTTTCAGTACCTCACCTTCTACCTCACTAGATTTTACAGAGAAACTGAACTGTTTTCTTTTTCTGTGGATCATAGAGAAGCATAACTACAGAACTGTGTTATAAATAAATTATTACCGAGCTATTTCCTTCCTGTTTCAAAGTCTAAAGGTCTCTGTTGGGCTTTTTAGAACAATAAGATCCCAAGGAAATAGGCACCACTACAGTGCTCCAAGACAGCCCAGGACACTGGAGAAAAAACAGTTTGGCCAAGAGAAGACAAGCCAGGAGTGGGGCGGTGGTCAGATTTCTGAAGTCAGAATTGTTGAAAAAACAGGAATTCTTCATGGGAAAACATACAAATCATCAGGCTGTAAAGAAGGCATGGAATTGAATGGGTGGAGCAGTGTGGAGGATCTGGGGGGAATTGGGGGAGGGGAAACCATGATCCGCATATATTGTATGGAAAAAATATTTTCAATAACAAATGCTACATACTAAGCAAACACCCCTGGAATATACAATTACAAAAAGGGGTTTATCACGTGTTAAATAAACTGCTCAAATAATTAAAATAAAAGAGTGAAAATAAAGAAAAGAAATAATAAACTTTCTGAGACAAAGAGAAAAGGGAATGACCCACTTTTCCATCCCCCACCATGATATTCATTTTGGACAGCTAAGTAGTACTCAATAGTAATCAGCAACTAATGAGCACCAGTTAAAAGTGAGGCATGGGACTTGAACTCAATCACACAAAGTCAATAAAGGCTTGGTTTCTAAGGAGACTGAACATACATAAAATTTCCTCTGTGGAGTGCTGCCCATCTGGCTTGGAATCTGTCATTATATGCACAGCAGGTGGTGTTATCTTGCCTAGTCTAGAGTTTTTAATTCTTCAATATGTGCCAATGACTTTGTTAAGAACTTTAAATTTGTTTCCCATTGGTAATCCTCCCAATTAGTACTGTAGATTAAATATTATCTGCCATGACTGTCAGCCAAATAAACCAGAATTTTAACAGTAGATAAATTTGTTCCAAATCTCTTACAAACAGATAGTGGGATAATTTCCGACAAAAAAGACAACATCCTACCTATACAAAGGTGTCAGAGTTACATTCAGGCAAAATATATAACTAATATGATTAATCCTATGGTTATCAACTTCCTCCTATTTCTTTTAATCTTGAATCTATTTACACATATGAAATGGAAACATGATAAATGATTGTGAACTGTGTGTAATCCTCATTAAGGAAAATGTTCAAATTGGATGCACACTTATTTGGAAGATATTTTCTCCATCTCACAGATATGTCTGCATATCTGGGAGGGAGGGACCAAGCGAAGAAGGGAAGAAGTGAGAGGTGGGGGGAAGGAGAGCTTGGGCAACACTGTGGGAATCTGAAGTATATTATTAGTATTATACTTTCTGATTATAGTAAAAATTAAGATCACAGTGTCCTCACTGTCATTGCTCTAGAGGTGGTGGGACCTGGAAGAATGGAACCAATAAATGAGGTGTACTAAAGTCTCATGCAAAAGCTGACTTTACTCAGAGCTTCAGGCAATTTATACTTATCAGAGGATTAAGAAAAGATCACATGACTATGAGTTCAATCTGTATAGAATCACAAGGACAAAACACACATTGCAAAAGCTTTTTTCCATAGATAGTTTAAACATTTAATTGAATAAAAACAGCAAGCAATTTGAGTAATGTGATATAAACATATGCCTATCAACTACACCTGGGAGGAGCCTGGAAACACATTACAAGAACAATTTCCATGTTTTGAAGAAACTGAGGTCACAAGACTCTTGCTTTATTTTCTTGTAGTTTTCTCACAAATACTCAGGATTCTCCTCACATGATTCTATGCCTGGACTGTGTTCCTACACTTTATATATTAAATAATATCAGCAGAGTTAAGCATGGATGAAAACAATAAACCCAAGTAATAATTTGACTTGCTTCTCAGTGATCTATCAATATTCTGGAAACATTAAAGGAAAAATAAAAGTCATAATCATGTTATAGATTTCAACTTTAACTGTTATGTTTCTATTTCTTTTCATAGTACTAATTCTAAAAACTGTTATCTTTGAAATTAGTTAAGAAAGAGGTTAATAAGCATTCATAGAGCTAAGAGTAAAGTAAGATTCTTTTTTTTTTTTTTTTTTTTTTTTTTTTTTTTTGTTTTTTTCGAGACAGGGTTTCTCTGCATAGCTTTGCGCCTTTCCTGGAGCTCACTTGGTAGCCCAGGCTGGCCTCGAACTCACAGAGATCC